AGATAGGTCGGAAGAATAACGATGCGGAACACAACGAAAAACGAAAAATGAAGGTAAAAAAACACCACTTGAATGAAAATCTAACTGATTTCTGTGCATATAGTCACAGTACAGAATAGACGGATGAGTCAATGTAAAAGCATAGTTACCTACCAAAAATCATAACTATTAAGCATGGCCAAGTGTCACGGAATTTCACTTTTTTACATTATGAGACCATATCTCATCAATAATCATTGCAAATTCTCTGAAAATTTTGTCATAGATACATATTATTTAGATCCATTGCTAGTACGAATTTCATTGATTTTGATTTAAACAGATATGAATTTTATATATTTAATGAAGGAAAAGTGTGAATATCTTATCTTTGGGTAATAACAATCGACCGAAGTGATTCTGATGCATCTTAAGGATGTGGATTCATCTTGTCATTACCCACATCGACACCCTCAATAAAAGTAAAGATTTACTTTATCTTTATTTTATAAACAATAAAGATAAAGAAATTTTCTTTTTCTTAAAAATATAAAATTTTATCCTTTTCAGGTAGATTGCTAAATACTATAAAGACATATAGACTAAAAAGATTTTAAAAAGAAGTTTTTTCCATAAATAGTTTATGCCTCATAATCATTTGCTAGTATTATTCAATATAAGAATGTGGCTGGTGATAGGACAAAACTGCGATCAATATTATCTATTGTTATATCAATTATTTATCTATTTACTAATTATTTGAGAATATTTTCTTTATTCTTTATTTTATAAAAAAGCTGTTAGCGCAATCCCTAACGGGATTAAAAATGTGAAACACGATCTAACTGTGCTTCTACCTTCAAGAGGATAGCTTAATTGTGTCATTATGAAGCGGCTTTTATCTTATTCTGTAACATAAAGGTATAGAAATATCAAAAAGAAATAATTTTCATATGTTGAAATCATTTGATTATTATTTTAACAGTTGATACAAAATTTAGAAAAATCGATTAATATAAAAAACTACTCACATATCTACCTTTCCTAAATAGTATGAGTTCAATAGTTTCATTTTATTCTCCGACGCAATGTTCATATCTATGACAGTTACAGTCTGTGATAAAGTCAAGAGAACATCTGCCATTCACGGTTCGTGATGCTACATTAATTATCTATATGAAGGCCTTGTTAGGGTCTGTGATGAATCACTAAACCCTAAACTAGAGATTAAGTTGGTTCTCCTAGTCTAATTGTCTCGAAACGTCTACCCGGATAGCAGAAAGTGATGATTCGAGTCTCGCGAAGGTCATCTTTTCCCCCATTTTGTCTTTCTATTGTATTCTTTCGCTGATGTCCTTTTTATGGCTCTGATATGACCCTAACAGGCCTATGGTACCCTATTGGTTCTGTCCAGGGTTCCGAATAGAATTTAGAAGAAAAATGTTTCTGTACATTATGTTTTTGAAAGCAGAGTGTATCAAAGTGTATAAATTGAATTTAATTATAATCTTGACATATAGAAAGTGTTCATATTTTTTGCTAATGAAGAATGTAAAACAAATGCATACTGAATAATAGTAAATACACAATTAATACGCACACAATTATGCAATCTGACATGAATAGGAATATTTCTTTTATTACTCGTCAGTATCAGTATCAATATCTATTTAAATTCAAACAGAAAAGAAATCGATTTATGGCTTAAAAAAAACAAAGTGTTAATTTTGTTCGCAGTGTACCGTGTACATTTTGTTTTCGCCAGTAACGTGTAAAACAGCGTGTATTTCAAAAGTCACAAGTGTTTCACCCATTTTTCTTCTGCTGTGTACACTTACCATTCGGAACCCTGGTTCTGTCTGTAACGAGGTCAAAAGATCATATGTCGGTCATGTCTGTGATGTTGTGTCGGCCAGGTCTGTGACGACCTATACTGCTATGTCGTTCGCCACCTTTGATATTCGGTCGGTCACGTCTTGAGGGTGTGGGTGAGGGTTTGGGTGTGGCTCTGTCCTATTCCTACCACACGCATATTCACACCTACACTTAACACCCACACCAATGTCGTTTTTGACAGTACCATAACAAGGTATACATAACCAATCTCTTTTTTTTGCTGTTCTCTTCTAATCTCTAACAAGTATTCTGTTATTGACTAAGCATATATTTACTCTTGATTTCTCTCTGTAGAGACATAATATTATTTTGTTATTTTTAGTACTGTCACCTTGACTTGATGTGATCCATGCTGATTGAAACAAGAACTATTTTACGATGTTAAAATATCAACTATAATGAGATATCAATAAAGTGATATTTCGTTGTAATTGATGATATTTAGGAAATGAGGAAATATTAAGATTGAAACGTTAATTATAATAGAAACATAATAAAATAATTAATTGAATTTGTTATATTTCTAACTGTCTTGTTACCTATATGTATAAAGTCTTATAAACGATTTGTTCGATATATTGGATTATATCCTTGACAAAAAGATTATCAAAATGAAATACTTCATTTTATTTTGATAATAACAATATTTGACTTTTAGGTAAAGATAAATTTTCACTTGTAAGGTTAATGTTAATAATGTTATGAAGAAAAAAATGTAATCTGAAGACAAAATTCAAGGTGAAAGAAAAATACTTGGAATTTTCCAAGTTATAAATAACCATAAAAGCAAATCAAAAGATTTGATGATTATTCTGTTCTTATATATAAATACGATGCGTTGAGAACCAAACAGATGTAAGTCTACTTCCTTTTTTAAATTGACATTAATCTATTACATCATCTTACTTGCTCGTTGTTAATATTTTCAATAATAATTCATTTTATGATACATATAATCCGCACCGTTTGCAGTATAGATTAGAAAAAAAGACATGTCATACTATTCGTTATTGCATAGATTCGCAATATATAAATAAAATTGTATAGATAGTATGATTTCTGAGAATTACGATCAATGCCTAAAATATTTTAAACGATACCCCATGCAGAAACCATACTGAGTCATGTATGTTTTTACAATGGTGGGATTTTTCCCGATATTTACATCTAAGTTGGAAATTTCCCGACTATACCTGCTGAATAATAGACGACAGGCAATGAAAAAAAAATAAAAACAAGAGCATACTGACGCACTATATTAATGTAATGGGAAAAAAGTGAAACATTCATATTCTTCTCTCTTACTTCATAGTAGTAATTTTGTATTTCAGATTCAAGACGAATTATTATACGTAATTAACTGTGAAGTAAGTTTCATTTGAAAAAAATATTATCGATTTGAAATATCGAAAAATCAAGTGATTCAATACGGATGTCTTCTATTAGTAAATTTTGTAAAGAGTAATCTGAGAACTGTAAAATAAAATTATGAATATCAAGGAACATAATTTATAAAATCAGAAATATTTTTGAGTACCTTATCTATGTTACTATTGCATATTCTTCTTTGTTTGAGTTCAACTAAATAACACGAACTCCTTCTGTTTTTTATTTTTATAAAGCCTTCAAGTGTTTGAATATCAGCATTTTTCTTATTCATCTCGTTAATATTTCTTAAGATTAAGTTGAAAATTTTAAAACGATAAAAAAGTATTCGTTCTTATCTATTTTATATAGTAAATAGTAGTGGGATAAGGTCCACCTTGCTTCTTTTTCTTTCGGAAGTGAGAGGCACGCATCATAGTAATTGTCAACCAGTTAAAAGATAAAGAAGGAAAAATGTATTGCAAAGTCTACAGAGCGATTTTGCAAGGCTTGTAGTAAATTTACAACCTTGTCATGCAGAATCCTTTATGCGTAAGTAAATCATTTGATTTATTTTTCTAATTCTCTATGACATGCAAAATCTATGATTTCTAAGTTTCATATATGTATGTGAACTACAAAAGCTTTTTCTGAGTTTATGGTAAAGTCCAGTTCTGGGAAGTTCAAATTTCTCGCGTATCATTTCATAATGAATGGTGCAATAAAAATGCTCTTGTTGCATTTTTTTATCTTAACTATGAAACATTTATGACTACAGTTGATTTTATTACATTTGATTAAATAATCATAAATCTTATCTAACCGTTAAATTGTGCCAACAAATTTATCAAAATTCGAAAAGAGTTTGTGGGTGAGAGTATGACTCTGTCCTCTACGTGCCAGCACCCTCACCCACCCACGCTCACCCGCACCCACATTCACACCCTAACCTCCACCAATACTCACAGCCAGACACACTCTGTTTTCGGGGATTTCTTTTATTTACCTTCCCCATTGAAGTGAAGGGCGGCTTCTCAAGTGCACCACTTCACTATAGGGCTTTTTCTTTATCGAAGTTGGAAATTTGGAAAGATTTTTGCAAAAGGTGACTATAAATAGAAAAATTTCTTTCTTTTTTTTTCATATTCAGGTAGCCGAATGTCAGATGTGGTCGATAAGCAACAAGCCAACAAATGGACAGAAGATCAATCAAAAGAGCTGTTATGCCGTCGATGCCAGTGGCCATTGCATCCACCCATGCAGCTTGATTGCTGCGGGCAACGAATTTGTGAGGATTGCATCACTATGATCAAGTATTACTAATCTATTCATTATTACAATAAATTTAATATAGTTATACATTTTTTAGAGATACCGAGTTAGAATGTCCATCTTGTTTCAGTTTGCGGCCTAATGTATGTTTAAAAGAATACTTGTATTTAGTTGTATATAATAACACAAAGTATATTTAGGCTAGACTTGATCGAGGACGCTTACGCGACTCTGAAAATCATGAAGTAACTTGTCCTGAATATGGTTGTTCGTGGATTGGCTTATTTAAAGAGTTGCGAGTAAATTTATTTATTGAGAAGTTTTTCCTTCTAAACAATCAATATTTGTTAGGAGCATCTTCGCATTCACTATGCGTTCAAATGCGAAAAGTGCAATAACGAATTTGTTACTCAAGTTCAGTTAGAATCCCATAAACGTCACAGATGTTCTCATCGTACTGTCTCTTGTCCGCTAGCGAATCTCGGATGCACCATAGAAGTAAGTAATAAAAATGAAATTGATCTATGTAGATCGGTGTGGGTCTGGATGGGCGGATGTAGGTGTAGATATTTGTTATTCATGTGCAGTCTCATCTAAATCCACGATTCTCATCTTTTGACGTCGGCTGACTTTTACAGGTTATACCGAGTTTCTTGAAGTTCATTACTGATCTCTAGTCGAAAATTAAGCAATCTTTTATATATCATTTATATTTGTTAATAGATTCCATACACAGATATAGCAAACCATTATTTATTGGCTGAACATCAGCAGTCTATTCTCTCATGGATAGAACAAAATGGTCTTAATCAACATGATGACAATCTAAACTTAACTTGTCAGAACAATGCCAATGAACAGTATCGATATTTCATAGTGGAGTGTCAGAAAAGGATTGAATCTGTGATTCAAGAGATCCCTCCGGTGGAGCATGATTGTATTGAACTCAATGCAAAGCGACAAATAATGGAAACAAGAGCTATGGAAGCCCGTGAACAATTACGGACACTCAGTGAATCATCATTAAACACGGTGAAATTTTTAGAAACCATTCAGCAAATGTTCAACGAAATGAATAAACTAATCAGTGAAATTCGGGAGAAATGTTCTATGAATCCTACGATACTAGACAATAATGACACATATACTTTGAAAATTAATGTGTTACTTTTATTGAATAATAATTCACCAGCAATGCATTCTGGTTCGGTTCACTCTTCAAAGTGTGGATACAATATTGGTATTAGTGTCGCTATGGAAACAGATGAACAAGTCAACCATCGTTATGTACATGTTTCCTTCATGATTTGCCGTGGGGATTATGATGCCATTCTGTATTGGCCCTTTTCCTACCCAATCACAATAAGCCTAGTTGACTTGTCAGGTGGATCCAATCACATATTTCATTCGATTCAACCCGGTTCTCAAGCAGAAATATTCAGTAGACCTTTGAGCACAGCAAATATGCCGTATCAAATATCTCGATTCTGTTCAGCTGAGAAATTAGCCGAAACTGACTCGAATTATGTGCGTGATGGCAACATGTTTGTACGGTTACACGTTGGTTTCGCTGAAACAGATCAGTTTCCATGCCAATCAAACAAGTTGTAATCAGTGATAGAGCTAGTACTGGAAACGGTCCGATTTAGTCTCATCCAATCTCTCGTTGAGACTTCCGCTCATGCGATTATTTTTAGATTATTTCTGTTTAAATTATAATAATATTAAATAATTATAGAATTCGTCATGGTAGACTATGTAGCCTTATTTGATTCATTTTTGATTTTCTTTCGATGTGTGAAGATAAAGCCTAGCAAAATCTCATGAGTTCTAAAGTTCTTGACAATGTGAAGTAAATGAGGATGTATATGTAACTATTATATTCATCGCTATTTACACCGATATGCACTCTCTTAGAGATGACAAACAGCTACAAAGAATTGTATACGAAACTTGGAAGAAAGATCCAAATTTTGAGTTTGATAAAAACTAGAAATAATACTCATAGAATTTTGTGCTCAGGATACGAAGTAAAATTTCTTTATTCACACTAAGTTTAAATCAACTTCCAACAATGTTAGATAATGAAATTATCATAGAAAGGATGTCAAAAACACAGGTTGTTTGCTATATTGACTTTGACGAGTTACAGCATTAGGATCGATAAATAATACACATTAATCTTGAGGGTGTATGTGTGGGTGTGGGTGTGGGTATGATGTATGAGTGTAGATGTGGGCGTCGGTAGGTGTGAACGATGTATCAACCTCTCACTCGCACCCACACCCATCCTCAAGATCTTTCTATTACCTAATTACTGACTGTATCGCGCTAATGCGGTAATAAATAAAACATGAATACAATATGAACACCGATTATCAAAATACTTTATTCCAACTTGGTATTATCTTTTTTGCGTTTCTACTTCAGTTGTATTACTCATCTTAACACAACTGCAATTTATAACTCTAATAAAAATTTCATTTTTTGCCCTTGCACTACACTGATATAATTGTCCTTATCTACATTACAATTTATAGCTTAGGTAAAATTTGGAATCTGATCCGTTATATTTTTGATGTTGTAAAGTGCCGACTTGATTTATTTTAAAGTTATTTCTGAGCTGATATCATATGTATACATAATTATTTTCATTAAAATGTGGAATAAACTATTACATTCAAGTATAATGTTTTATTCATCTCTTCAAAAACGAGAAAAGAACATTCATAGTTAATTATTATTGGATCGTTCGCGTGGTTCTATCACAGAATGTTAGTCCGAAGAAAACTTTCGATGGAATTGGGTTGACACAATCGATTAAAGTATTTACATATTAACATAGTTTTCCATGGTTAGTATTATGGAATAACCTTGTTGTATGCAGAAATATGATTGTCAAGTGTTAGTTGAACCTAACCCAAAAAGACAAAATTGGCCAAATAGTTTATAAGAAACTATATTCAACTTTCATGTACCATTCAACTCCATATTTTGACTTTTTGTAGATTTCAACAAGACTACGAACTGACTGTACACTCAAATAAGCATTTAATTACTACACAGGTACCAGGAATTAAGATCTTTGATTTATTTTTCAATAAGTCAATCAAATAATTGTTTATTATCAAAATACTATTTCAATGTCTTTGATAGAACATTTTTAAAGTCAATAACTTTTACAAGAGAAGCAATCAAATTTGTAACACTTATTTAATAATGAGCATGAATGTCAGATCTAGACAAATGATAATGACTAATTATAAATTGATAATTAATAGTCAAACATAAAAAGCAAATATTTAATAGATAATAGTTCATTTAAAAATTTCATTATTCTTTTTTTTGTAATATATTTAATTGAATGTATTATTGTTAATTATATTGACCTACAAAATATATTAGTATATGCAACAATATTTCAAACTATATCAACTAATACACTTAGTACTTTGCTTTGTTAATGCACAATTAAATATGAATTAAATTAGAGATTTAATAAATTTCAAAAGTTTTGAAAAAAAAACAATACATAACACATTTATAAATAAATAACATCTATAGAACAAAATTAGTTCGGTCATAATTGTACTTTTGTTTATATAATAAAAGAATTAAATTTCTTCGTTTGGTTGTAAAAATGAAGATGAGAGACCTGGAATAGATATTGATTCGGCTGTAATATGTTCTTCTTCAACAGATTCAGTATTATTATTATTATCTGTAAGAATTTCTGATGGTAGTTTTATTTTATTCATTGAATTGAGAGCACGAATAAATTCATCTAAAATAGAAAAAAAACAAGAATAAATTTGATTTTATTTTTAATAAATTTTTATTTGAATACCTTTAGCATCACGAAAAGAAACATTACATATTGTTTCAATAGCTTTTTGACATGCATCATTTTGAGCAACATTTTTCGCTGCACTAACACTCCAAAATTGTTGATCCATAGCTGTAACACGTACAAGAACAAGATTTTCTTCATTTTCTATTAATTCAATACGATTTTTTGTTAATGTTGATGAATTTAAACGTTGATTATTAACAAAAAGTTCATTAAATAATTGTAATGGAGTTTTAATTGCAATTGATTTCACTGTTAAATGTTTTCGAATAGAATCAATTAATATTGTTGGATCATTTTGTAATGAAGGAGGAAGTGTTGTAATAAATCGTGTTTGATGATACATATCATAATCTTCAGTTAAAATTTCACTTTCTGGTGGACGATATGTTGGATATAATTTTATTAAAGCTTGCTACAAATACAAAATCTTTACAAAACAACTATTCAATTTTGTATACAAAAAGATTCCGTATATTTTTTCTTTTGTAAGTTAATATCTAACCTGTGCAGCCATATTTTTTGCTAATTGTTTTGATCGACCAATTCCAATGGAAATAATTGTTTCTGGAACATTTTGATCAATTGTTAATGTACAACGAAAACGTGATTGTTTTGGAGATATTTCTTCTAATTCAAAAGAAAATTTTTCTGATGAAATATCAGGACGAAGTTCATGAAGAACAGCTGCTGGATGACGATTACCATCATAAAAAACCATATCAAATAATTTTGTACGTTTATTTATTGTTGATGATTCATTATTATTATTATTATTATTAATACCTTTACGTTTTCGATTTTTATTTATTCTAATTGAATCATTTTGTTCTGATTGGGATTGATCAGGTAATGATGAAGTATCCATGGGCGGATTTTGATCCATTATCTAGAAAAGTATAAATCATTTCATACTGTCATAAAAACAAGTAGAATAAATATATATATATATATAGAGATTGTTTTTCATCTGACTTTTCTTCGTACAAAACAGAAAAAGATATTTAAAAAAAAAACATAACGAATTATACAATTTCATTGATTAAGATCGGGTTTAATATATCCGTTGATGGTTATAAAAAAGTTTTGACTTTTAATAATTGTATTATGAAAAAATGAATTATTTCGAAAATCTAATAATAATTTTCTTAATCCAGTTGAATCACTTGGATCATAATAAGATGAAATATTAAGTTTAATATAATTAAGTTTATTTGAACAATTTGATATTAATCGAATCCAGTTTGTTGATGATAAATAATCATTTAAATCATCATCAGCCATTGAACCACTTAGAATTAAATAACGAATACTTTTTGGTATTAAACGTTCTAAATTTGAGAAACTCATATCATCATCACATATATTTATATGCATAAATGATAAATTTGGAGGAAAATTCTTATGTGAAATTATATTTTCATCCATCCAATAATCACATTGATGAACTCCACCATTAATAAGTGAAAGAGAACGTAGATTAGGAACCTTGAATATTTAAAAACAAACATTTTTCTTTCTTTTTAAATAATATTTTTTCTTACAAAAGACCAAAGACGAAAAAGTTTCGCTAATTTAATTCGACCATTTAATGTTAATTTTTCAATTCGATTTTTTGTTTTATCATGTTGAAATGGTTTAACAAGAAATTCTTTTTCCATTGAATTAAGTATCAGTCGATTAACATTAGGAAAATAGATCGATATGATTTTTGTTATAAATCTTGCACATTTTGCTCGAATTGATATCTGACAAAGATTATTCAATGGAAATTGACTTACTTTTTCTAATTGTTCATCATTAATATATATTAAACAAAGTGAACGAAGACGAATAAATGAATTTATATGAAGTTTTTGATTATCATCATTTATATAAGAATAATCTATAGTAAGTGATACAATTTGATTTGTATTGAATAGAGATGGAATTTGAAAATTTGAACATAATATATTAAGATGAATTGGAAGACGATAATCACTTAATAATGATGTTATATAAGAATTTAATTGAGAAAATACATTAATTAATGATTGACCATCAAAATAAGCAAATAATTCAAACCAAATTTCACCTGAAAGATCTTCTATATGACTTTGTCTTTTTGAATTATCTAAATTAATTTTATATATATGTAGAAATGATAAAAATATATTTTTATTTACCATTTTTTTGTTTTTTTAATTTATATTTATAATTATTATTTGTAAAGTCTTTTGTTAAAGATCGTTTTCTTAATTCCATCTATTAGATAAATAAAATCATATAACTTTCATTTCGATTGAATAACTCATTTGATTTTATCGAGTAAAATAACAGACAGAGACACACACAAAAAAAATGATTAGGCATTCAGTTTATATATATATATATATATATGAAACTTTTCTTTTCTCTTTGAACGTTACATAATCTAACGCTTATTTATGCATGAAGTTATTATAAATATAAGAGTCTTTTAAAAAAAAATTCATTTCTATTAAAAAATTTTTAAATTAATTAGAAAAAAAAATAATCATTGAAAAAGGTATAAAATAAAGTATTTATAAGACTAGGAAATATTTTGTAAGGAAAAAGTATAGATAGATGACAATGAGAACCTTTTTTTTTATTTGTTAACTTTTACTTTTGTTGAAAACCAATCAGATGTCTTTTTATAGACCTCTCTCTCTATAGACACTAGTACATATTTGGTTTATGAATTATGTCGCGAGTTTGCATTGACGACAAACAGATTACACTGCATATTTTTCTTAATAAGATTTTTATCAAGTGAATCGTCAACAAAATTTCTCGATATATTCACATTTGTGAATATCAAACGCCGAAAAATCATCTTCTATATTATAAATACATGAATTGTTATAATAAAATAATTTATTGTGTACAATATGCGTACAAATATCAAATGATATATATAAATTGTGTTGTTAAAAAATATATGTTTAATTACCACCAAAAACTAGGATAAGTTCGTTTAGGTGCTATATTATTAATAATCAATGCAATCAATAACATTGTACAAGAACCAGTAAGAGCAGGCATTAAAATAAATAGAAAATTTGCCCAAGGTAAAAGAGGTCGAGTAGTAACAGCAAGTAGAGCAGTTGCACCACCAGGTGGATGAACAGTTTCAGTAAATTGCATTGCTATAATAGCTAAAGCAACAGCTAAGGCACAAGCTGTTGAATGTTCAAAACGATCAATTGCTACTCGTACTACACAACCACATATAGCACTTATAACATGACCACCTACTAAATTTCGAGGTTGAGCAAGAGGAGAACGAGGTGCACCAAAAATTAATACAGCAGAAGCACCAAATGAACCAATTAAAAATGATAGCTGATGTCTTTAGAAGAAAAAAAACATATTCTATTTTTCAATTGCTATTAATAATCATTTATATTTACTTTTCTAGTAATCTAAAATGAAGAAAAGCAACAGCTGCTATACCTAATAATGCACCAATAAAACTCCATATATATTCGTGCCATGGTAAACGTTTTGGTCGTTCTTCATGTAATCCGTGAAATTTTTTTACATATATTCGTATCCATGTTAAACATTTATTTGATGATTGATTATCGTTTTCTTCGATATTTTCTATTTTCGAAAGAATTTCTGGAGACACTTCAATTAATTCAGGTGGTACTGCATGATTAAATTCACCATCATCAATAGTTATCATAGTCGGATTATCTAACGCCATCCTTTAAACGATTAGGATTGATATACTGAGTCATAATTTTTTTCGTCTTATTTTATATGAATGATTCTTTTGATGAGCTTCACTGCACACATCTCTACTTATCAACAAAAGAAGGAGAGCAATATAAATTTAATAAGATGAATCAATCTTTTCCACACATAGACTTGACACTTGATTGGTGCATATAATACATTTTGTTGTTAAGTATTCTATATTTATAAATCATTGATTTCATTAAACAATAAAATTTCGATCAATTATATTTTAGACGAAAAATCTTAAAGATATGAATAAATTGTCGAATCATATATGTTTTTCGAAATATTTTTATTTTTATTATTGCAAAACATATTGTAAATATTTCGTGTCGTTATGGATCTGTTTCTTTGTTTTTCTGACACAGATTGTTGTTGGTCAGAGAAAAAAAACTCTTTGTCATATTTATTTTCTATTGTCACTTTTGTTTAATAAAATAACAAATAACAATATTAAAAATTTATAATTTTCTTCAATAAAAAACGATAATAGAATGTGTTAAAATGCAACATTGTTGAGTCAATCACACAATAATAAATTAATCATTTCAAAGAAAAATTTAAATAGACAAATCTTTTATTGATAGAATGAAATTATGCAACTATTTAATTTTCTATTACATACGCAAAAAGTAACGTGTTGCTAATCGACAAAAAAAACAGAATTCGTTATTGATCTCGTTTCTTTTTTATTCTGCCTGAATTATTTAAAGGTGCTTTTTTTTCTTTCTTTATTTTAATAATAAACGTTCGTAATATTTATGAATAAATTGTCTATGTGTCACAATGTGTTTATAGACTAAATGTAAGTATTAGTTAAATAAATCAATTAATTCAATAATAAATATAATTTTATTTAGAATTATTTCGTCTGTCTTATCAAAGAAAATTTAATATGGCTAATATATATACTGAAACTATGGATGAACATAAACTTGAATCTGATTATCAAACAACCAATTCTGATATATTAGCATGGCTTGAAGCAATTCCTTTATCACGTCCAATACATAATTTTGATACTGTTTTTTCTGATGGAATGTTAATCGCTGAAATCATTCATTTCTTTTTTCCTGAATATATCGATTTAGATATATTTTATATTGCACGAAATATGTCTCAACGTACTCGAAATTGGCGAATATTAAAATGTGATATTTTACCAAAATTAGGTTTACATGCGCCTGGTACTGTTGTTCATGAAATAATACATGGAGATAATCGTGTTATTGAATTATTTCTTCTTTATTTACGTGAGAAACTTGAAGAACATTTAATTGAAACAGGAAAAAAAGTACATATATCACATGAAATATTACCTCCAATTCATATTGAACATGATGATCATTTACCACAATTAATGTTAACACCACGTATACCAAGACGAAAAGGATTTAAACCTACTTTTCCAAATTTGAATAAAACTAATGATGTTTTAAATGATAAAGATAAAGAAATTGATCTTTTAAAAGAAAAATTAGATCAATGTGAAGATATTATTAAAACAAAAGATGAAAGAATTCAAGAATTGGAACAAATTTTACAAAAATTCAATTCACAACAACAATCATCATAGATCTTCTATCTTTTTTTCTTGTAAAAACAAATATGTATTTTAAATTCTCAACAACATTTTTATTCTAATAAAAAGTATATTTAAACATCATCATCATCATCATCAATTTTCTGATTAGTTTACATATGTCAATGTTATAACAAAAAACAATGCTCTTATGCTTGACTAAAAATAAGTATGTATATATAAACTTGAAATGAATTACATTCCTTTGTAATCAAAATCAAATATTTCACTATAAAACATTTGTGGTTGTAGAATAAAATCAGAATATTGAATAATAAGAGCTACTGATGGTATACGTATTTTTCCATTATTTGATATTGTTATTGTTGAAGATTCACATTTATCTATTTCTTTAATACCAGAATTAAATAATAAATTTTGATATTCTCCATCGGGTAAATTATTAATTTGAATATATTCTTCATTTGTATTATTTTGCGAAACATTAAAAATACCAATAAGACCTTGACGATCAAATTCATTTTCCCATACAGTTACAATACATGGACTATGATGTGTTATCGTAAAACTATTGAAGAAAATTTATTTTTAGAAATTTTCAAATAAAATTTTTTACTTTGAATTATTCGATTGAATAATTGGATTTTTTTTAATTTGAATTAATTCATGTAGAAATTGTTGTAATGGATAAATATTTTTACAATCAACCCAATCTTTTTCAAATAATGATGATGTTTTGGTTTGTTCAGTTTCTTGACCTGCATGTACCAAAAAACAACCTTTATTAAATGCATTAAATGCTAAAATATAATAAAAAAATTATTTAATAAAATAAAAAAATAAAGATTTCAATTAACCTGTCCATGCAAGTCCTTTTAAACGATTATTACGAAAAATATGTGCAGCACGTTGTTGATCATGATTTTCAAGAAATCTTAATTTTATAAAATTATTTGGATATATTGTTGTTTGAAGTCGAACCATTTCAAGATAAGATTTTATTGGAATAGCATCTGCTATAACTGCACGCCATGCACCATAAATATCATAATCATAACAAATATCAAATGCTTCATATAATGTGGAATCTGTATTAACTGTTTCTCGTTTAAAACGATGACCTTCAATATAAGGTAATCGAGTTGATTCAGCTAACCAAACAATATTTGGATAAATCATTGATACTTCATACCGAGCTTGACGCCTTGAAAAAGAAAAGAAAATAAATTTTAGAATTTTAAATAGAATTTATTTTTAACCAGAATTGCATTGTTACACCGGAAGCAACATCCATTCGAAATCCATCAACACCTAATTCACACCAATATTTTAAAACATCAATTAATTCAATCCATAAAGTTTTTTCATTTCCTTCAAATTTTAAATCTAATATATCTGACCATTCAGGTACAATTGCAATTGGTTTTCCCTTAACAAAAAATAATTTTCTATATATAAAAAATAGAATTAAAAAACAAAATTTACTGTTTCATCTCTTAAATACCATTCTGGATGTTCTTTAGCCCATAAACAATCATGACTTGTATGTCGAAAAACAATATCAATCATTAAACGCATTCCTTGTCGATGAACTTCAGAAATAAGACGACGAAAATCATTAAGATCACCATGTTCAGGATTTATTTCACGAAAATTATCTATAGAATATGGAGAACCAAGTGGACCTTTACGATTTGTTAATCCAATTGGATGGATTGGAAGTAACCAAACAAAATCTATTCCCATTCCACATATTCTATATTAATATATATATAGGTCATTTACTAAGAGAAAATTAAATTAAAAAAGAGAACAAACTAACCGAGGTAAATCATCAATTACACCTTGAAATGTTCCACTTTCAGTATGATTACGTGTATATACACAATAAAAAGCTAAATTTCCGATATTTGACTTTGACATATTTAGAAAAGTGTTTTAAGAAAAATAATATATCAATTCAACATCTTACGAAATTAGAAACAGCTGGATGAAGAAATGAATAACAAATAAGAAGTTTTACATAGATGACTCTGTCTTCTATCGATATTCTTAATAAAAAGAAATTTTTACATAGAAATGATAAAATGAAATACAAATCAATAGAATATTATTCATAATAATTATACACTCTTATTATAATAAGATAATCGAATTATTTATATTCTCGTTTGATTTTAATTAATAAATATTATTTTTATTTCATTTATCAATCCTTTATTTTGTAAATTAATAGTAAATAAATAAAACTATTTGAATATTTTATTATTATAATAAGTGATATTAGAAATTCTTTACTTCAAATAAATATTTCATCGACATATAACTTTTTTTGCAAAGAATATTCTCGTGTTTTTATATAATTTACATATTGATTGATTTGTTACTCATGAAAAATATTTAATAAGACCATAACGACCTGTCCACGTAAAACGTGATTCAGTCACGCTCTGTTTGTTTTCTTACGCTTAAATAACTTAATATCTAGAATCGAATATATTTACGATTGTGAGACGAAAAATTATGCCGTTTTCAAAATGAAACCCTACAAAGCTGTCTGTATCTTCTCATTTATTCGAAAAGATCGTGATGGAATCATCCCCATCCTGTGGACAAGCCTTGAAAAGAAATATATTCTTAGATTTACAATAATGGTTTGTTTGTATCTTTTGATTCTTATCAGTAAGAATAGACATTTGAATCGTAAGGTTAAATTTGTTTACGTTAATATAAACATGTATAGTGATTTTTCTTTTCTTATAGTTGAACGATAAAAACATGTTAGGTATTCTATGAAATAGATAGATCGATGTTGGTATGTTGATTCAATTTGTAATGTTAAAATTACATGGAAATATGTCAATAATGATGAAGATTTATCATGTGGGATGATGATGAAGAAATCGCATTCTAATAGAAGAGAAAAAAAAGATAAGAAAAAAAGAACAAACATGCAAGAAAAAAAGAGAGAACATGCATATCATATGATATATATATGTAAGATGGACTTAGTATAGAAATTTCTAAGAAGATATTTTTTATTTAATATAAATATTTCGAGATGGTTGTAATTTTTGTAATATTATAAAATTTCTTTGTAGATTATTATTATTATTATGCCTCATTTACTTAGCAAGTTAACAAAATGTATTCATCGATCACATCGTACGACGAAAAGTGTGAAACCAAAAGTAATTTGTGAAAAAAAATATATTTTAAAATTTAGTCGATTTGAATTAATGCCTGATGAAATTCTTCTTGAAATCTTTCAATATATTTCATTAATAGATTTATTTAATGGTTTTGTTAATTTAAATTTTCGTTTAAATTTTCTTTTACGTGATATTCGTTCTGGTATTTGTATTGATCAAAATGATGATAAAATCAATCAATCATTATTTTCTACACTTTATTATTTTTCAAATCAAATAACATATATTCATGTTGATCGTTATCCATTATTAAATCTTGATATATTTCCAAATCTTCGTTCATTAATTATCTATCTTCCAACAACAAAACAATTATTATCAATAAATTCCAAAACAATGCCTTATCTTTCTCGTTTATGGCTTGGAATAATTGCTCAAAAAGATCAAATTATACTTTGTAATACATTATTTGGAAGTGAACAATTTTCTAAACTTTATTTTTGTAATTTATTTGAATTTAATTTAAATGATAATATAAATTCATTTCAATATTCCAAAAATATTCGAAAATTATTTATAACAAATTGTCAAACAAAAGATTTTATTTTACTTTTATCATTATTACCTCATCTTGAACAATTAGAAATTTGTATATCAAATGTTTTATCAACATTTTCACATAATTTAACAAATTTTTCTCATAAAAATTTACGAATATTAAAAATTGAATTTGCTGAAAAACTTGGTCAATTAAATATTCTTAATTCTCTTATTTCATTTGTACCTTATGTTCAACGATGTACACTTATTCTGATTAATTTAATTAAAATTCGTGATTATGCACATTTACAAAATATTCTTATTGAAAAATTTTTAGAATTAAGAGAATTTATTTGTTCAATTGATTATTATTGTCAATTAACAAGTAATGAAATGAGTTCGAAATTTCAACGATTAAGAACTAAACTTCCCTTTTTTCAAACAATGAAAGTTATACCTTGTGAAATACATCACAATCAATGTGTTAGAAAAACATGGATCAATAAAACATTTATTCCAATTTGTTAACCAAACAATATTAAGCTTTTATTTTATACAATCTTTTTCTTTTATTTCTATTATATAAACAATATTAAAATATAAAAAAATATTAGTTAATAATAGATATATACAAGTATTTCATTAGAAATCTAATATATAAATATCTATATAATAACGAGCAAATTATTCAGATATTATGACTTTTGATATGTATAGATAAATCTATTAATTATTACTAATATATCCTCAAAATTTGAAAGTACAGTCTAGCTTATTGTATTCTTCTAGATACGAGATATCTTGTCAAAGACAGAGCAGTGATAACTCTATGTACACATGTCATATATAGCCTATGCCTAAAAAGTCTTTCCACAAAATGCTTGCTCATTTTTCAGTTACTTAAAAACAATCAGGAATATTCAAAATTTGTTCGTTTGTGGCCTATTTGAAAACATTTCAGGCAGGTGAAAATCTATAGATCGATGTCAGAATCTTATATTCTTTCCGAATACGCGCTCAAAAGTTGTGTGTCTATTTTTGTTCCAAAACGATGAACGAATCTTCGCAAGGCATTAGAATCAGTTTATAGAGCGAACAAACATCGTTTTACAAAATCTGATATGCAATGAAGTATAGATTAGGGGTGTTACTTTATCTTCACTTTATAAAATAAAGATAAAGTGAATCTTTATCTTTATTTTATAAAG